CCAAGAGGCACCCAAGAAGCCCCAAGAGGCCCCGAGGATGCCAAAAAGAGGCCCCGAGAGGCCCCAGGACGGCCCCCCAGAGGATCCAAGACTGCATCCAGGACCCCAGAGACCCCCACGCCGGGCACGGTGGCGGGATCGGCCGAAGGCAATTCGATTGTGACTGAATGCCTGCACCCTCTGCTTCCGCCTCTTCGCTCCCTTCCTCGAACATCCCCACTTCGACGTCGACGTCTTTCACATGTAGTGGGCCAGCGCAGCGCAAAAGTGCGCACTCCAGGGAGCACGCTCGAACACAACAGCTTCTGATATTTATAACTCAGTTCAAACAACTCTGGGCTCGACCTGAGAGATCCTCCGCTTGGAGGGGCAGTGAACGCGATAATGGTGCAGGCAAGCAAGGAAGCGTTCGAACGGATCCACCCGGCAGGAGAAAACGCTGAGGCTGAGATCTGCTGTGCAGAGGTGGGCAGGCGCCCTAGCGGCTCTCCCTGGGCGGTAGGGTCGCTGGGGGGGGGGGCGCCTGGGGCGCGCAAACATGGAGTAGCGATGCATGGATTTGGCGCGCGGTCGCCAAGTCCATGAATCGGGAGGCCTCCTCCCAAAATGGGGCAAGGTGCCGCCTCGTTCGGCGGCGGAAATCAGCGATCCCCTATGGAAACGGGACCCGTCGCTAATGCACGCCCCCTTAATCCATGTTTGCGATCGCCTGAGAGGGGGGCCTCGAGTGGCCCCTGGGCGCAGACCGCGGCCCCGGGGGGGGCGGAGCGGCTCTCTCTCTCTCTGGATCCCCCAGAGCAAGGCGGGTGCATGGTGCCCGGGTCCTCTCCTCCTTGTCCTCCTCGTCCTCCTCGTCCTCCTTGTCCTCCTCGTCCTCCTCGTCCTCCTCGTCCTCCTCGTCCTCCTCGTCCTCCTCGTCCTCCTCGTCCTCGTCCTCCTCGTCCTCCTCGTCCTCGTCCTCCTCCTCCTCCTCCTCCTCCTCCTCCTCCTCCTCCTCCTGGCCAGGCCAGGACAAGCGGTGTGGACGATTGCGGGGAAGACCCCCCGAATGGGACGCACAGCGACATGCTAGTACTACATGTTCTCCTTGGAGGCGCGCTTCCAACCCGAACATATAGTATACTGATCTTGTAGTAGATCGTGTGGCTAGAAAGCGCCCGCCACGACCCATATACTATAAGATTTCTCGGGGCGCGCGTCGCCCCTAGGGGGGGCGGGGCGACGCACTTAGTATTAGCATGTTGGGGTGACGCCGACCGAACGCTCCGGGTGCACGCGGGAAGGTGAGGACGAGAATGCTCTGCCCTGGTAGGATATCCTGGGCGCGTAAGGTCTGTAGGTGGGGGCCAGCTGTGGGAGGGGCGAGGAGAATTAGCACCGCGAGGGGGAGAGGAAAGAAAGTTATCAGAAGGCAGTGGAGAAGGAGCGAGGAGGCAGAGTGAATCGGAGTGGGGTGCGGCTGAGGGTAGAGAGCAAGGTGCAGAGGACGACTGAAACAGAGGACGACGATGATGAGGCGGACGAGTGCGGAATGGGGTCTGGAGACGCGGAGAACAAGGCGCGCCAGACACCGGCGGCACAGACGCAACGCAGAAACGAGCACAGCCCGCGCATGCGCGGACGAAGCTTTGCAAGAAGAGCCACGTTGCCGGATTAAAACCATCTAACTGCGCGCCTTCCGCACGTGGTCAGCTAGAGGCAATAGCACAGCGAAAAGGTCTGGTGCATCTGAACTGGCACGGTGCTGCCTACAAACGCGCTGCCATTCCGCCTTGTGTTTCCCATTCCGTCTCCTTGTAAGCCCATATGCCCCCACTCGAATCACAACACAAACTTCAACTTCTGCATTGATGGACCCGTTGTTGGCAACGCTTCTACACTTAAGCATGATGAGGTGTCTCCTCCTACTCCTCCCCATCATTATTATACGCGTGATTATACCTATGTGCGTTTTAATATATAAAGGAAGATCCACATTTACAATTGGTACCACTTCTACTCATTCATCTCGCGATGGCACATGTGCTTACACCTACCCCGTAAATACACAGGTACCTCTATCGGGCTGCCACCGATGAAAAGGTTGGAGGTGGGGGCACGGGGCGCGTAGCCGTACCATGTGTCCACCAGCAGGATCTGATTACTACTGTGAACTCCCAACGCTTCGCGCATCCCCACCAGCCCATCCAGGAACGATGCAAAGGGGAGCTGCCCTTATCGCGGATGTAGGGGGGCCGTGGCATCATGTGAACACCTGGGGGAGCCTCAGTGAAATGGAGACCTCCTAGATACCTCTCGGAGTCGCAGGGGGCTCTTGGTGGTCCCGTAGGGCGTCTTTAGGGCCTCTTGAGGGCCTCTTGGGGGGCATGTATGAGGCCATCGTGGGAACCTTGGAGTCCTTCTTGGGACCATCGTGGAGGACATCGATCAAAGAAAGGGGGCCCTCAATTAGCGCTTCCCCCCTGGAGCCATCAAGATCGCCGCGCGGGGCTCTCTTGGGCCGCTCTTGGGCGCTCTTGGGGCCTTTTTGGAGATCTTAAGGCCTCGCTGAGTGCCATCGGAAACGAACGGGCGAGAACCGGCCGACATCACAGATGGCCCTTAGGCTCTTGGGAGGGAGCGTGGCCTCTTGGGGGCTTCTTGGGGGGGGGGGGCAGCCAAGGCCACGTGGACCCGCCTGGGAGTGGGCTTGGGACCTTTTTTTAGCGCAGGTCGAAAGCCATATTGAACGATCCTGCGGCGCCTTGAGCCATCATGTAAGCCATCTTGGTCTTGAACCATGGGAAGAGGAGGAGGAGGACGACGACGATACTGCAAGCCATCTTGGGCTGTCTGGGGCCCTCTTGGAACCATCTTGGGCCACCTTGGGCCGTCTGCCCGCCCGCGGGGGCGCTCCGTCCAGACCCAGGGGGAGGTGAGAGGGGAGGGGCAAACCCCTCCCCGAAGGGGAAGAAGGGGGGTCTGGAGAGGAGGCACGCTCAATCACCTACGCCATACAGGGCTGGTGGGGTTGCACTCATGGTGCCCCTCATCATGGACATCCGCAGTCATCTACACCAGTGCGCCGCAACGCGCTGGATAATGTGTGTGCACAGGTCCCTCGGCTTTTTTTGATGTGGGTCAAATTGATACGGATGGAGCGGCCGAGATCCCCGAGTTCTGGGCGCTCTCAGACACGATCCTGTCTGGTCGGCCAGGGATGGTGCGACTTCAGATTTCAGACTTGGGATGTGCGAACGTGCTGCATACAGATGACAACAATACATGCGCAGTGGTGTCGATGACCCCGGCCTCGATGAGGGGAGGAAGCGCGGCGGCGTCTGCGGCAGGCGCCCTTCCGCGCTACTGCCCGCTGCCCCGCGAGTGAGAGGCCGCACTCCCAGAAAGAGGAGGAGGAGGAGTAGGAGGAGGACGTGGAGAGATTCTTTCCCAGATCAGAACAACGATGGCTTCGGTTCGTGTCGGGGATTCGGTTTTCTACTCTGCATGGGGCCGGGAGGGCCCAGCGGACAGCGACGACGACGACGACGACTAAAGGCGACAAGGACGAGGAGAAGGGGGACGAGGAGGAGGGAGAAGAGGACGAGGAGGAGGAGGAGGACGAGGATAAGGAGGAGGAGGAGGACCAGGAGGACGAGGAGGACGAGGACGAGGAGGACGAGGAGGAGGACGAGGAGGAGGGAGAAACGATGGGGGAGGACGAGAAGGGAGGAGGAGGAGGGAGGAGGAGGGAGGAGGAGGAGGAGGAGGAGGGAGGAGGAGGAGGAGGAGGAAGAGGAGGGAGGAGGAGGAGGACGAGGGGGCGGGAAGCCAGCACCCTCCTCCGTCCGATCGGCCCAGGCCAAAAGCCAGGGCAGACGGGAGAACCGCATCGGAGTCACATCGGAACCATCGTGGGGCAATCTCGAGGTCGTCTCGGGGTCATTCCTCATCCTCCTCCTCCTCCTCCTCCTCCTCCTCCTCCGTCTCTTCCTCCTCCTCCTCCTTTCTTTCCCCTCCTCCTCCTGTCGTACTCCTCGCCCACCTCTTCCACCGCAATCTTGGGGCCAAGTAGGGTCCACGGGGTCATGTTGTGGCATTATCGAGGCAATCGCGAGGTCGTCTCGGAGGCGGCGTTCGCATGTCACGGAATGCCCCTTGGAGGCGGCGTCATCCTACGTCGGCGTCGTTGGTGGTATCGTTGTTCGTTGTTTGTGGTTGGTTGTCGCTATAATCGTTTTGACAGTATTGTGTGTGTATTTGCTGCTGGTGTTGTTATAGGTGTTTCTGTTGTGCGGACCATGGGGTTTGATAGAAGTGTTGAAGGCTTCGTCGTGCTCAGACCAGAGCACCCGAGAGGAGGTCTCGAACAAGCGTGGCCGCGAGGAGCGTTTTGATATGAACACCTGCTGGTACTGGTATTATTGTTGCTGTTGATGTCGCTGTTGTCGTGGCTCTTGATGCTGGCTGTGTTGGTGGTACTGCTGCCATGTTCGCTTCTGTAGTTCAAGTTGCTGGTGATAACGTTTTGTTCACTCGGTGTCCTCACCGAATGTGTTTGTCCTGCCTGGGCTTGTTGACCACAGGGCCGGCCGAACGACCAGAAATGCTGGTTTCTGGTGTGTTTGTTGTTGTTGCTGCTGTTGTTGTTGTTGTTGGTGGTGGTGGTGGTGGTGGTGGTGGTGGGGTCGTCGCCGTCGTCGTCGGAATGTTGTTGTTGAGTGTCCCAAAAAATAATGTTGATCCCCCATCGGGTGCACCTTGTGCTTTTTGTTATTCAATTAAAGTGTTCCTCCCGGGTCTCGAACCTTGTTTCTATCAGAAATCGTGGTCATCAGAATCCGATTTGGCCCCCGATGTACAGCAACAGCGGTTCCCGCCTGACTCTTCTTCACAATGTATTTCATAATCGCGCTCCCGTCGTTGCAGGTGCTGTGGCGGAACGGCCCATGACAACATTGAAAGGTTCGGCGTACATGCCATCAAAAGACATATATTGAACCATTCAGATTGCACCAAATCGATTGTGCCACGTACGCTGCGCACCACATAGACTGCACCCTATAGGTTGCACCGTGTAGACTGCACTATATATATATATATATATATTGCACAACATGGGCTACATCTCAAATGATGCACCACTTCTAATTTCTTGGCATGAAGAATTCGGTGAGACAGGCCCCATTGCTGGTGGGGGCGGAAATGCGGGTAGTTGTGAGATGATGAGAAAATAGTGGCCTGATCCCTAGTTTCTGATCCCCGGAATAGACCGCGATCCCTGTCGGACATGGAAGCTGCCATACAGATTATCACATGTTTGGAAGGCGAGAACGGCCTGGTCCATGGCTTCTGCTCCGCGCAATAGACCGCGATCCCTGTCGGAAGGCGGGGGGGGGAAGACGCGCGCGCCCTGGCAATCCACGCGATCCATAGCTTTTTGCTGGAAGGGGGGGGGGGCGACCCAACAATTTGCTGTTGGACGGGGGGGGGTCGCAGTCCATTCCGGGGCTCAGAAGCCAGGGATCAGGCCACTCTCGCCCTACAAACGTTTGTCGATTTGTAGTGCAATCGCCCTGTACGGCAAGGATCACAGTCCACGCCAGGGATCAAAACCAGGCCACTCTCTGGGTCCGAGGTCTTACCAGGACAGCCGCCAGTCGCGCCAGCTCAGCGCGCAAACACACGTCGCCAGCGTCGGCCCCGAACGGTGCGCTCCTAGCAGTGTGCGGTGTGCAGTCGATGTGGGCTCATTCTCCATGGCTTGCCACAGATGTGGTGCGCTGTATGGAGCTCGCAGCATATGGGGTACAGTCGACGTAGTGCAACCCGAATAGTGCAATCCACGTTTTGCGAGATAGATGGTGCAATGCGCTCGCGCCCCCGAGGTCATGAGCCCAATCTTCTCGCGATCTTACAACTACGCACACTTCCGCCCTCACCAGCCCTGGGGCCTGTCTCACCGAATTTCTGACGCCAAGAAATGAGAGGTGGTGTTCTATTTGAGGGGCGATCCATGTTGTGCAACATGTGTGGTGCAGTCTACGTAAGCCAATACGTGTGGTGCAAATTGTGTGGTGCGCAAGTAACGTGGTACAATCGACCTAGTGCAACCTATCTGATGCAATCTATGTTTTTTGATAGCGTGGGCGTTCACCCTTGAAATGTGGTCATGGACCGCTCCGCCACAACACCATGTCGCATCGAAGGAACGTTTAAGGGATGGGAATCCGAAAACGGAAAGCCCCGAAATGCCTCATGGCTGTCCTATGGAACATTAAAGTGTTTTCCGTTGGCGGGGCTCTCCTGAGGGTATATGGGAGCACCAACGAACGTCAACAGCGACAACAACAGCAGCAACAAAAAAACAAAATCATTTTTAGGCTGATCATTATTCTTGGCTCGCGTGTCTTTTAACATTAATATCCCAAACTCTCGATACCCGCCCTGTTCGTCTTCGATCGTGCCCCAATCGGGGGTATATCTCCCGCCACGTGTAGTCGGCGCAGCCCCTAAAAGAAGGGAAAGGAGGGAGTAGGGAAGAGACAAGGGAGAGGGAGTAGGATGGAGCACGAGAGATTTGCAGGAGGAGGGTGAAGAGCAGGAGCTCAAGCGGCAGAACCAGGCGGGCGGGTCGGGCGGGCGGATCCGAACGGGCAGGTCGGGAGGGCGGGCCCAGGCGGCCGGGTCAAGCGAGCGGGTCGTTGAAGCGTCAATCCAACATGAATCGCAAAGCATTTTCGGACGATAGCGCGATTCCTACGGTAGAGGGAAACAATTACTGAACACCCCCCCTCCTCCCCAAACTCAATGTTGGCACACGCGGGGGAGACTGCGGTCGAAGTGCATCCCATCAGACCCACCGCCAACTTTGAACATTGGGGGGGAGGCGTTAACAGATGAGTGTGGCATGAACGTTCGCTAATGTGGTCCGAGGCCTGTAAGTAAACCGTGCGGAATTCCAAAACAAAAACGTAACTCCTGAGTGGTGGGGGCACGGCGCCGCAACACACTGTGTGGAAGTGCCGCGCGAGGGCGCGACTTCTTCATGAATTGAAGAGATGTCCAGCCCGGGAGCGCGACTTTGAAATACATTGTGAGGAGGTATCAGGTGAGAGCCGCTGTTGCGGTAAACTGGGGGCCAAGGGCCCAAGATGAGGACCAAGACCTTGTCTTGTAATAAACAGGGTGCGAGTCCCGGGAAAAACACAAGGTGCACTGGAGGGGGAGATCAACAATAGATATTCTTGCGACACCTACAGCAACAACCATAATACCAATATCTCCCTGCTCTAATTTAAAACCGCTCATCGCGGCCATGCGTGGTTAATCCGTTATCTGGCGCGCTGTGGCCTGATCACAACGAAAGCCACAAACAATGTTCGCAAACCCTGAGACCCACACAACAGAAACAACAACAACAACGGCACCAAAAACATAACACACCAACAACAACGAAACAACAATAGCGACAACAAACCGCAGAACAGACAACAACGAAACCACCAATATCGTCGCCATAACATGGCGCCGCCTCCAAGGGGTATTCCGTGACATACAAGGGCAACCTCCGAGACGACCTCGAGATTGCCTTGATATTGCCCCAAGATGACCCCGTGAACCCTAGTTGAACCAAATATTGCTGCAAGATGGCTCCAATGTGACTCTGGCGCGTTTCTCCCTTCTGCCCTTGCCCTTGTCTTGGGCCGAAAGGACGGATGAGGGTGCTGGCACTCCGCCCCCTCGTCTCGTCGTCCTCCTCTTCCTCCTCCCCTGTCGTCCTTGTCGCCATTGTCGTCGCCATCGTCGTCGTCGTCGTCACTGTCAGCCGGGCCTTTCTGGCTCCATACATAGCAGAACTGAATCCCCGACACAAGCCGAATCCATAATTTCTCTGATCTGGGATTTATGGTCTGCATAGGGAAAGGGCCCAAGGCCTAAAGGCAGGGCTACGGAATGCCTTCCTCCCGGGCTCGGGAAGCGATTGGCAACTGTCTCAGCAACTGTTTGGGCTCAAGGTGCCATCTTAGATCCATACAGCGCCCAGTTGCGCATCTCTGGGTCTGGGAGCTCCGTCTCCAGCACACTGTCGATCATGTTGATCAACTCCTCACTGAGGCCCGAAGCACGAGCGCTGTCCTTGCCCTGCTTCCGGCCCTTGTGCCCAGAGCGCTTGACGTCCCTTGCCAACTTAGCGTGGACGCCGCCAAGTTCAAGTGCACCGACCGTCTTCCAGATAGGATCCGGGTGAAGAGGTATTCTGTAGTCGAACGCCCCACTAAGCTCGGGAGACATCATGTGTTCGGCGGAGCAACGCTCCTTTACGGCCGCTTTCTCGTCCGCGTTCAGAGGCGCCTCCTTGTCCAGCATGAACGTGGACAACTTCTCGACAACCATGTCCAGCCCCTGCTTCGGCTCGACCATATCCCTGTAATGCATAAGTAACACGTTCCTCTCATGCCTCAGTCGCCACCAAGCCCGCACGTAGGGAAAGTAGTAATTGTACAAATGGCCTCCAGGGAGGAGGTCCTTAGCGGCAGCGTCTAGGTTCGGATAATTTGGCGGAAAGCCACCCCAATCATCCTTGAACTTTTGCTTGTGCACTGCGACAAAGTCCGCCGACCCCTTGTGGGTCTTCAGGCGCTCTTCACCCAAACCGCGGCAAATGTGACCCCCCACCCCCACCCCCTTGGCCCCGCACGACCCCGGCACGAAATCACCATGGGGGATAGAAGGCGCCCAAACGGGCCAAGAGGGCCCCAAGAGGGCCCCGAGTCGCCGAACGATCGTTCCAAGACGCCCAAGATGGCCTGCAGACGGCCCAAGATGCCCCCAAGACGCCCCAAAAAGCCTCCAACCAGGGGCCCAAAATAGCAAATGCCATTGATTTCCCATGTGCTTGTTGCAAGTTCTTGGCGTTCTCGCCTTTGCGCCTTCCCTACGCTCCACGACGGCCCACGGGGCTCCCCGGGTCGCCCGAGGAAGCCTCCAAGGGGACCCCAAACCGGCCCAAGAGAACCCCAACCTTCCCACGATCGACCATCGAGGAAAGACCCTCCTCCTCCTCCTCCTCCTCCTCCTCCTCCTCCTCCTCCTCCTCCTCCTCCTCCCCCTCCTCCTCCTCCCCCTCCCCCTCCTCCTCCTGCGCCTCCTCCTCCTCCCCCTCCTCCTCCTCCCCCTCCCCCTCCTCCTCCTGCGCCTCGACCATCGATCTTCCAAAGTTCGCATTCCAATTCGGGCCCTGGGGGCCGTTGTCGGGCCCCGGGGCCATCAGAAACGGATCCCCCTCCCCCCTCCTCCTCCTCCTCCTCCTCCTCCTCCTCCTCCTCCTCTCCTCCTCCTCCTCCTCCTCCTTCCCTCCTCCCTCTCTCTCCTCCTCCTCCTCCTCCTCCTCCTCCTTTTCCTCCTCCTTTTCCTCCTCCTTTTCCTCCTCCTTCTCCTTCTCAGCGTTCTCCTCCTCATATGATTCGCCCTCCATCCTCACGACCTCTTCGTCTGGCCTTACGTTCACGGATTTCGGCACGTGAAACGCTATTGCAGATTCGATCTCCCAACTGACCACCCGTACGGGCATCATGTGCATGACGCTTCCTCAAGGTGCCGTTTTGTCGGCGCGCGCGACGTGGCCACCCGTCACGGAGAACGCCGAGTTCGGCACTTTTTTCTGGCACGTGTCGCTGCACTGATACGCCTGCCAACTGCTCGCCGTGAACCCGAGGCCATTGCAATTTGCACACAACACGCGCACCTGCTTCGTCTTTCGATGGTGTAGTTGTTCCTTCTTCAGATGTATCGTGCCTGCCCGGGGAAGCTCCTGTCAGATGCTTCAGCTCCTCCGATCCTCGAAGGCGAGGCTTTTTCCGCCGCCCCCTTATGGGTCTCTAGGCGTGTGAGAATCTCCCCCCGAGTCGCCCCCCAGGCCCTCGAAACCGGAAATCCCACCCACCCCCTGGCCCAAGACGACCCCCAGATGAACACCTCAGGGGAAGAGCACCCGCGCCAAGAGGGCTGCCAGAGGCCCTCAAGATGGTCCAAGAGATCCAAGATTCGCAACAAGGTCGTTCGGAGGCCCCAAGATGGTATCAAGGCAGCTCAGGACGGCTCCAGGCCGCCCGAGGAGGCCTCCAAGGGCACCTCTCGGAGGGGCCCTAGAAACCAAATATCGTCCCATGCCCTTACGCACACATACCATTTTAGCAGATTCGTCGCTTACGCTGTCATGGCATGGAAACAGACCTATGGGGCCACCACGATCGCAACGACACGGCGCCCGCGAGGCTTCCAAGACGGCTGCAAAGCGCTTCCCAACATAACCCCAACTGGCACCCTACAGGCCTCTGACTCACAACCCCAGGAACAGTGGCGGGATTGGCCGACGACAACTCGATGCAGCTCCCCCTGGGTCCATATTCGACGTCAATCGCGCGACGCTTTGGGTGTAGCGCGCTACCCGTCATGAACGTGCCGTCCAACTTATCGGATACACGCGAAAGGAGAGGCAGAAGCCTGACAATTATCACAAAGACATAAAGCAAACAACATTCCTCGGCCTTCCTTAGGGTCGGCGGATGTGGCGCAAACCTGTAGGATCATACATGCTGGCAAAAACCTCGTAAACGTTGCGCACAACGCTGATGTACTTCACATCTGGGAGCTGTTTGACAGGGAGCACGTCCGAATACACGCCCGTGGCGTTTCCTTCAGGAAGAGGAGTGTGGTGAGACTTGAAGATCCTGAAAGTGAAGTTGGGGTGATTCCAAAAATGAGACAGCGGCACGTCCACCGTCCTTCCATCCGAACCTGTGCTGCTGGGAACGATGGCCGTATTGTATCCCTCCACGACGTCTGCCCATGTCTGGCCAGGGTATTGGATCATGTCCATCCACGGAGTATTGAACATCGGATCCACCCAGGGCAGGAAGCCCTCGGGGCCGGCTACTCCGCCCCGACGGCGCACCGAGTCCGCGCAGTAGCACATCCAGGTGCTGCCCGACTTGGCTCCGACGGCCACGAAGACGTCCCTCGGTCGCACCCAGGCCTTAAAATTCTCGATGGGCCAGAACAAGGTGTTGGTGACGTAGCCGGGGATGTGGCCGCCATTCCCTCCGACGAAGGCATACAGCAGGAAGCCAGCGGGAGCAGGCAGCCTGAGGAAGAGGGCCGGCTTCAGGGTGCCCACGAGCCCGAGGGCAACTGCCAGGAGGCCGACGAGACACGCAACAGGAAGGCCCGCACGGGCCAGCATGATCTGGAGCGGGCGCGCTGCTCCAACATCACAGCATGTTCTTCGGGCCAGAGCGGTTACAGAACAACGGTGTGGTGCCTGTGCGCACGGTGTAAACGTTCCCCCCACATCCAAAATGGGGTTTTTGTGTTCTCTGCACACCCTCGCGCAGGAACCTCACACCTCACCCCCTCTCTTCCCCACTCACTCACACGTAGTCACACACTCATCATCAGTACCATCGTCACCATCATCATCAGCATCATCATCGCTCACTCATTGACTCACTCACCCACTCATCCACTCACTCATTCAATCAGTCATTCAACACACACCCTCATGAGTACATGAGGGGTGGGCTTCGTCAAGCTTGAGCATGGAGAAAGTCTCAGGCGGGAGCCTCGTCTGTGAGTGAACTGCGAGGAAGCTTCAGGCAGGAACCCCTCCCTATGAGGCCCGCAGCTCACGTTTTTAATCCGAGCGGGTCATCGAAATATTGTAACAGTTGTCATTCTTGGGTTCGTCTGGCCTGGATCTTGAAGACATCTGAGGCTGGAGCCTCCTCTGTAAGTGAATTGCGCGGGAGTCTCAGCCGGGAACCCTCTGCCTATGGGTTCCACACCGAATTGTTTGTTGTATTAATCCGAACGGGTAATCGAAATTCTGTAACTGTCGTGACTTTTGCGCTCCTCAGGCCTCAATCGTGACGAAGTCTCAGACGGGAGTTTCGTTTGTGAGCGAATTGCGAGGAAACCTCAAGCGGGAACCCATTGCCAATGGGTGCCACGCGTTATGTGTTTCAAAAAACCAACGGGTTATCGGAACCTTGTAATTGTCGTCACGTTTGGGCTCTTGAGGCCTGACTATGGAGGAAGTCTCAGACGGGAACCTCGTCTGTGAGTGAATTGCGGAGACGTCTCAGGCGGGAGCCCTCTGCCCATGGGTCCCGCACCTCATGTTGTTAATCCGAACGGATCATCGAATCCTGTGACTGTTGTCATTTTTGGGCTCTTCAAGCATGAAATTCTGACGAGTGTCAGGCGGGAGCTTCGTCCGTGAGTAAATTCTTATGGGGTCTCAAGCGGGAGCCCCCTGCCAATGGGTCCCGCGCGTCATGTTTTTTACCGAGCGCGAAATCGGAAACTTGTCACTGTCGTCACTTTTGGGCTCCCCGGGCCCCTGAGTGCGGAGGAAGTCTCAGGCGGGAGCTTCGTCGGTGAGCGAATTGTGAGGAAGTCTCAGGCGAGAGGCTCCTCCCTATGGGTGGGGTCCGCATTCCACGTTGATAATCTGAGCGGGCCATCGGAACCCTGTAACCGTCGTCAGTTTTCAGCCCCTCTGGACTGATAGTGGAGGAAGTCTCACGCGGGGGCTTCGTCTGTGAGTGGGTAGCGAGGAAGTCTCATGCGGGACCCCCCCCCATGGGGCCCGCGACTCATGTTGGCAATCCGCGCGGGTCATCTGCAAACTCTACCAGGCATAACACTTGAGCACCCCAACGGGGAGCACACCACGAGGCGTTCCTCACGCGTCTGTGAATGAGTTGCAAAGAGCAGCTCGCGGATGAACTGAACTTCGTGCTGCCTCCCACCTGATCGCGGCCGCGAATAATTCGCTGCCTGCGGGGTTGTTTCAACGGCTTGCTCTCGCGCCCCAGCGGCTCGCGGGGTTGTTGCAACGACTGTTGCCCCGACGGTTTCGCGATTTTGCAATCGGAGAACGCGCCCCTGCCGGGCGCGGCGGCAAGGGCACCGAGGAAAATCGGCATTGGCCCCCCTGCCAGGAGGAAGGAGCGGTGCATGAGGAGAACAGGCGGGATGGAGATGAGGCGGGGAAGAGGAGGAAGAGGTTGTGGAGGAGGGGGAGGAACAGGACAAGAAGGAGGGGGAGGAGTTTGTGGAGGGGGAGGAGGAGGAAGAGAAGAAATGAAGCAAGGAAGGCGAGCAGGAGGACGAAGCGGAGGACGAAGATGACGAGGAGGAGGAGGAGGCGGCGCAACGGAAGGCGAGACGGGGGGCGCTCCGGCCAAGGCGAAGAGAAGAGGAGCGAAGGGTAATCTAAGTACGGAAGGTTCGTGTCGTGCCGACTTCGGCGTTGGTTTCTGGCACCGCTCTCCCTCCTCCTCCTCCTCCCCCTCCTCCTCTTCCTCTCATCCCTTCCTCTCCTCCCTTTCCCCCTCCTCCTCCCCTCCTCCTCCTCCTCCCCCTCCTCCTCTTCCTCTCATCCCTTCCTCCCATCCCGGCGTTGGTTTCTGCCAACCTTGAACGATCGGCCGTCTCCGAAACGTCAGATCGTTCAAATCTACCGATGCTGGGTCGCCGGCGGCGTTCAACGTTGGACTCTGGCGGCGGGGTCGCCGCCGGTCGACACGACGCGAACCTACCGTACATTATCATGCGGGGTCCCTCCGTCGGGATGATTGTGCTTCTGTTATGGGGAAGGCAGGATAACATGTGCTCGCTCTACTCGTAGAGTCCATCTGGCCCTCTGGCGCAAATGGGCTTGTTGCTGTTGTTGCCGATGCTGTTGTTGTTGGTGTTGTTGCTGCTGCTGTTGTTATGGTTGAGGTTGTTCTTGTTGTCGAATTCTCATTTCTAAGAAATTATTACTGTTGACCCCCTTCCGGTAATTACTCTATTCGTTCACTTAACGTGCTTCCCTGGGGGCTCGCACCCTGTCTTTTCTACAAGAGGAAATGAAGAGCCACCAAACTGAGCCCCTGGCCCCCAGTTTACAACAACTGCAGCAACAACAACAACAATCATTTCAAGACTGTTCGTCCTTATCTGCTCGAGTGTCGAATAACGCGAATTTCCCAAACCCTCGATACCCGCCCTTTTCGTCTTCCAACGGCTCCCGCTGGATACATCCTCACAATGTTTTCCCACACCGCGCTCTCGCACGGGACGTCCTCACAATTTATACAGGAATCGCGCTCTCGCGTGGGACTTCCTCGCCATGTCTTCAGACGCCGAGCCTTCAACACTCAGGAACCACGCTCTCGCTGTGGACTTCCTCGCGGTGTATTTGGAAATCGCTCTGGTGCTCGAGGCTTCCTCGCGATTCATGCAGGACGCACGCTTCAGCCACCCACCTGCTCGACGTGGCCACCTAGGCCTGCAATCCCGACCCATCTGTTAGGGTCTACCCGCCCGAACTGTCCGTCTGGTCCTGCCACGTGCTTTCTATTCCTAACCCCCTCTCCTGCTACTCTCTCTCGTGCTCCATCCATATCCCTCTCCCTTGTCCCGACCTTCCATCCGTCCTCTCTTCCCCTGCCTTAGGGGCTGCACGAAATACACGTTGCAGATAAGCACGAAATTTACCCCAAAGGGAGTACGACTGAAGACGAAGAGGGCTGGTACCAAGGGTTCGTGATACTGTTGAATGGCCCGCGAGCAGATGAGAGCGAACTGTCTCAAATGATGTTTGTTGTTGATCTTGTTGTTGTGGATGTTGTCGTTGTTAATGGTGTTGTTGCTGGTTGTTGTTGCTGTTGTTATCTAACTCTCATTTCTGAAGATACGTATTGTTGATCCCCCCCTGCGGTAACCAATATTTTCGTTCAATTAACGTGCTTCTCCCGGGGCTCGCACCCTGTTTTTGTCAGGGGGAAATGAAGAGCCACCAAACTGGGCCCCTGGCCCCCAGTTTACAACAACAGCGGCTCCCGCCTGATACTTCCCCACAATTGATGCCCACATCGCGCTCTCGAGCGGGACGTCCTCACAATTTATACAGGAATCGCGGACGCCCTCGCCTTGTATTCAGACGCCGCGCCCTCGACATTCAGGAATCAAGCTCTCGCTGTGGATCTCCTCGCGTCGTACTTGGAAAATCGCGCTGTCGCTCGAGGCTTCCTCGCGATTCACGCAGAACGCACGCTTCAGCAACCAGCCTAACCCTTGTCCCTTCCTTCCATCCGTTTTCTCTTCTCCTGCCTTGGGAGCTGCACGAAGAAAAATACAACCCTAAGGGGGAACGATCAAAGACGAAGAGGGCGGGCACCGAGGGTCTGGGATCTACGTGTTGAATGGCACGCAAACAGGTAAGAGCGAACAGTTGCAACACGAATGTCGTTGTTGATGTTGTTGATGACGTCGTTGTTGCAATTGTTGGAATCGTGATGGTTGTTGTTGTTGTTGAACATTATTTCTTCTTAAGAATAATTATTGTTGGGGCCCCTGGTGCACGACCCCCCCGCCGCGCCTAGGCCGCAGCCTCATTTTCATCATTTTCGTGAGGAAGTCTCAGGCAAAACGGGGTATACCAGATCCGGTTGTTTTGTTGTCCCCCGTTTTCCCTTGCAAAAAACACTATAACATGCAATCTCTTGTTCTAACATAACCGAACTTCAAGAATCCTTTGGAAAAATGACACGAAGTGCACACTCGCGCGCGCAAGATGAAATCCTTCCAAAACCTTAGTTTTCGTAGCGATTTTAACATAAAACATGAAAAACCCAATGGTTTTTCAAAACAAAAGTTTCAAAAATTCATCTGGCGCGCTCTTGCGGATTTCTGAGGAAACCAATATTTTTTCAACATTTCTGTCAAACGGGCTTTTGCGAGCAACTTTTTCACGTGCTTCGAACTTCTGCAACGACGGTTGCGCGCATGCCAGGGCCATCATCCCTGTCAAATAATACCATATTGGACACATTCGTTTTTTCTTCGCGCGCGCACGCCGTCGTCGTCGGCCGCGGGGCCCTGAATAGTAGCCACGGTCGTCCGCATGCCACGAAGTGAAGTGTCCGAACGTCATAGGGCGGGAAGCTGGGTGTGGGTGGTGGCGAAGAGTCGTTTGGAAATTTGGTAGAGCTTGAACCGGCCCCCCCACAAAGTGGGGGTATTGCCCGCCTCCTATGAAAACCCTGGCACTGGTGAGAACGGAGTGTCCCCAGTCTTAAATGATTGTTGAACATTATTAATTCTAAAGAATAATTATTGTTGGGACCCCTGGTGCACGGCCCCCCTGCGCCGCCTAGGCCGCAGCTACATTTTCATCATTTTCGTGAGGAA